GATTTGTGTGTATTGAAAAATCCTTGCATTCCTGGGATAAACCCCACTTGATCATGGTGTATGAGCCTTTTAATGTGCTGTTGGATTCTGTTTGCTAGTATTTTATTGAGGATTTTTGCATCTATGTTCATCAGTGATATTGGCCTGTAGATTTCTTTTTTTGTGACTGCTTTGTCGGGTTTTGGTATCAGGGTGATGGTGGCCTCATAGAATGAGTTTGGGAGTGTTCCTCCCTCTGCAATATTTTGGAAGACTTTGAGAAGGATAGGTGTTACCTCTTCTCTAAATGATAGGTAGAATTCGCCTGTGAAGCCATCTCATCCTGGGCTTTTGTTTGCTGAAAGATTTTTAATCACAGTCTCAATTTCATTGCTTGTGATTGGTCTGTTTATATTTTCTATTTTTTTCCTGCTACAGTCTCAGAATGTTGTACTTTTCTAAGAATTTCTCCATTTCTTCCAGGTTGTCCATTTCATTGTGATATAGTTGCTTATAGTAATCTCTCATGATCTTTTTTATTTCTGCAGTGTCAATTGTTACGTCTCCTTTTTCATTTCTAATTCTATTGATTTGAGTCTTCTCCCTTTTTTTCTTGATTAGTCTGGCTAATGGCTTATCAATTTTGTTTATCTTCTCAAAAAAATAGCTTTTAGTTTTACTGAGCTTTGCTATGGTTTCCTTCATTTCTTCTTCTTTTATTTCTGGTATGATCTTTATTATTTCTTCCTTTCTGCTAACTTTGGAGTTATTTTTTTCTTCTTTCTCTAATTGCTTTAGGTATAAGGTTAGGTTGTTTATTTGAGATGTTTCTTGTTTCTTCAGGTAAGATTATATTGCTATAAACTTCCCTCTTAAAATTGCTTTTGCTGCATCCCATAGGATTTAGGTCATCATTTTTTCATTGTCATTTGTTTCTAGGTATTTTTTGATTTCCTGTTTGTTTTCTTCAGTGATCTCTTCGTTATTGAATGGTGTATTGTTTAGCCTCCATGTGTTTGTATTTTTTACAGATTTTTTTCCGTAATTGATATCTAGTCTCACAGTGTTGTCGTCAGAAAAGATACTTGATATGATTTCAGTTTTCTTGATTTGTGAATGAAGGCTTGATTTGTGAATGAAGATATGACCTACCCTGGAGAATGTTCCATGAGCACTTGAGAAGAAATTGTATTCTGTTGTTTTTGGCTGGAATGTCCTATAAATATCAATTAAGTCCATCTCGTTTAATGTATCATTTAAGGCTTGTGTTTCCTTATTTATTTTCATTTTGGATGATCTGTCCATTGGTGAAAGAGGGGTGTTAAAGTCCCCTACTGTGAATGTGTTACTGTCGATTTCCCCTTTTTTGGCTGTTAGCATTTGCCTTATGTATTGAGGTGCTCCTATGTTGGGTGCATAAATATTTACAATTGTTATATCTTCTTGGATTGATCCCTTGATCATTATGTAGTGTCCTTCTTTTTATCTTGTAATAGCCCTTATTTTAAAGTCTATTTTGTTTGATATGAGAATTGCTACTCTAGATTCTTTTGATTTCCATTTGCATGGAATATCTTTTTCCATCCCCTCACTTTCAGTTTGTGTGTGTCCCTAGGTGTGAAGTGGGTCTCTTGTAGACAGCATATATATGCGTATTTGTTTTTTTATCCATTCAGCCAGTCTATGTCTTTTGTTTGGAGCATTTAATCCATTTACTTTTAAGGTAATTATCGATATGTATGTTCCCATTACCATTTTCTTAATTGTTTTGGGTTTGTTATTATAGGTCTTTTCCTTCTCTTATGTTTCCTGCCTAGAGAAGCTCGTTTAGCATTTGTTGTTAACCTGGTTTGGTGATGCTGAATTCTCTTTGTTTTTGCTTTTCTGTAAATATTTTAATTTCCCCCTAAAATCTGAATGAGATCCTTGCTGGATAGAGTAATCTTGGTTGTAGGTTTTTCCCTCTCATCACTTTAAATATGTCCTGCCACACCCTTCTGCTTTGCAGAGTTTCTGCTGAAATATCAGCTGTTAACCTTATGTGGATTCCCTTGTATGCTATTTGTTGTTTTTCCTTGCTGGTCTTAATATTTTTTCTTTGTATTTAATTTTTGATAGTTTGATTAATATTTGTCTTGGCCCTTTTCTCCTTTGATTTATCCTGTATGGGACTCTCTGTGCGAAGTGCACCTTATTGACTATTTCCTTTCCCATATTAGGAAAGTTTTCAACTATAATCTTTTCAAATATTTTCTCAGTCCCTTTCTTTTTCTCTTCTTATTCTGAGATCTCTATAATTCAAATGTTGGTGCATTTAATATTGTCCCAGAGGTCTCTGAGATTGACCTCAATTCTTTTCATTCTTTTTTCTTTATTCTGCTCTGCGGTAGTTATTTCCACTATTTTATTTTTCAGGTCACTTATCCGTTCTTCTGCCTCAGTTATTCTACTATTGATTCCTTCTAGAGAATTTTTAATTTCATTCATTGTGTAGTTCATCATTATTTGTTTGCTCTTTAGTTCTTCTAGGTACTTGTTAAACGTTTCTTGTATTTTCTCCATTCTATTTCCAAAATTTTGGATCCTCTTTACTATCATTACTCTGAATTCTTTTTCAGGTAGACTGCCTGTTTCCTCTTCATTTGTTTGCTCTGGTTGGTTTTTAACTTGCTCCTTCATCTGTTGTGTGTTTCTCCGTCTTCTCATTTTGCTTCACTTACTGTGTTTGGGGTCTCCTTTTCGCAGGTGCACATTCGTTGTTTCCATTGTTTTTAGTGTCTGCCTGCAGTGGCTAAGGTTGGTTCAGTGGGTTGTGTAGGCTTCCTGGTGGAGGGGACTGGTGCCTATGTTTGGTGGTTGAGGCTGGATCTTGTCTTTCTGGTGGGCAGTACCATGTCCAGTGGTGTGTTAAGAGGTGACTTTGACCCTATTATGATTTTACTAAACCTCTCTGCTAATGGGTATGATTTTGTTCCTGTCTTGCTGATTGTTTGGCATAGCATGTCCAGCTTGCTGTTTGTTGAGTGGAGCTGGGTCTTAGCATTGAGACGGAGATCTCGGGGAGAGCTTTTGCCATTTGATTTTATGTGGAACTGGGAGGTCTCTGGTGGACCAATGTCCTGATCTCAGCACTCCCACCTCAGAGACACAGGCCTGACACCCAGCCGGAGCACCAAGACCTTGTCAGCCACAGAGCTCTGAAGAAAAGGGAGTAAAAAAGAAAGAAAACTGAATAAAATAAAATAAATTTTAAAAATTATTAAAAGTAAAATAAAAATTAAAAGTAATAAAAAGAAAGAAAGAAAGAAGAGAGCAACCAAACCCAAAAACAAATCCACCAATGATAATAAGCACTAAACATTATACAAAAACCAAAGAAAACAATCAAAAAGATCCAGACAGGCAGAACCCTAGGATAATGTTAAAAGCCAAGCTATACAGACAAAATCACACAAAGAAGCATACACATACACACTGACAAAAAGAGAAAAAGGGGAAAAAAATATATATAAAGAAATAGGAAGCGAGCAACCAAATCAATAAACAAATCTACCAATGACAATAAACTCTAAATACTAAACTAAGATAAACATAAAATGCTAAACTAAGATAAACATAAAATCAGAAACAAATTAGATGCAGAAATCAAATCCCAAGTCTACAGTTGCTCCCGAAGTTTACCACCTCAATTTTGGGATGATTCGTTCTCTATTCAGGTATTCCAGAGATGCAGGGTACATCAAGTTGATTGTGGAGTTTTAATCAGCTGCTCCTGAGGCTGCTGGGAGAAATTTCCCTTTCTCTTCTTTGTTCACACAGCTCCTGGCTTCAGCTTTGGATTTGGCCCTGCCTCTCTGTGTAGGTCGCCTGAGGGCATCTGTTGTTCCCTTAGACAGGACTGGGTTAAAGTAGCAGCTTATTTGGGGGCTCTGGCTCATTCAGGCCAGGGAGAGGGAGGGGTATGTAATGTGGGGCAGAGGCCAATGTGACATTGCAACAGCCTGAGGTTCACTGTGTGTTCTCCCAGGGAAGTTGTCCCTGGATCGTGGGACCCTGGCAGTGGTGGGCTGCACAGGCTACCAGAAGAGGAGGGGTGGATAGTGACCTCTGCTTGCACACAGACTTCTTGGTGGCTGCAGCAGCAGCCTTAGCATCTCATGCCCGACTCTGGTGACTGTGCTGATAGCCACGGCTTGTGCCCATCTCTGGATCTCATTTAGGCTGTGCTCTGATTCCCCTCTCCTTGCTCACGCCAAAACATTGGTCTCTTGCCTCTTAGGCAGTTCCAGACTTTTTCCTGGACTCCCTCCTGGCTAGCTGTGGTGCATTAGCCCCTTTCAGGCTGTATTCATGCAGCCAACCCCAGTCCTCTCCCTGGGATCTGACCTCTGAAGCCCAAGTGTCAGCTCCCAGCCGCCACCTGCCCCTGTGGGTGAGCAGACAAGTCTCTGGGGCTGGTGAGTGCTGATCGGCAATGATCCTCTGTGTGGTAATCTCTCTGCTTTGTCCTCTGCACCCATGTTGCTGTGCTGTCCTCCATGGCTCCGAAGCTTCCCCCCTCTGCCACCTGCAGTCTCCACCCACGAAGGGCCTTCCTAGTGTGTGGAAACCTTTCCTCCTTCACAGCTCCCTCCCACTGGTGCAGGTCCCATCCCTATCCTTTTGTCTCTGTTTTTACTTTTTTCTTTTGCCTTATCTAGGTACGTGGGGAGTTTCTTGCCTTTTGGGAAGTCTGAGGTCTTCTGCCGGCATTCAGTAGGTGTCCTGTAGGAGTTGTTCCACATGTAGATGTATTTCTGATGTATTTGTCGGGAGGAAGGTGATCTCCACGTCTTACTCCTCTGCCATCTTGAAGATCTCTCGAATTTTATATTCTTTACCAATATCTAATGGGAATAAGTCAAATGCATTTTTACATGTTGCTTTAAAAATGGATTTTGTGAAATAAATTATTTCTGAAGTTTGTAGTTAGTTCTTTTGATTTTTTAGGACTTCATCATAATTATTTTCTTTCTTTGCAGCAGGCACTTTGGAGATCAAAGATGGGAAGAAAAGATGCCTCCACTATAAAACTTCCTGTTGATCAGTACAGAAAGCAAATTGGTAAGCAATGAATTCCCTTTGATACATTCTTGTGAATTCAGATGAAGAAAAAAAGCAATTATGTGTGATATTAAGAAAATAACTTTTCCCTAATACATATGATGCACAGAATATGAATAACAAAGGACTGCACAGAATTTTTAAGGAAGAAAAATCAGTGCAGCCCTGTTTACCTCTGAAGAAATACCTTTTTTGTACTTATGATTTTTCAAAGCTCTTTTAGATTTTATTAATTTGGTAAAGCAAAAATACTTTTATTGTTATTCTTAAGGCAAGGTGCTTGTGTATAATCAGTATTTTTAATATTAACATCTGTTTAATTATTTATTTTTATCCTTATAAAACCTTTCAATTCTTTTGACTCTTAGTGGCAATAATGTGATAACCTCAAAATTCTCTATTAAAATTTTAACTTAGTAAAATGGTGAACTAGAGGAAAGTCCAGTCAACAGCAAAGGAAGATAACAGGAAGCTTCCCTGTTTTAGACTATGCTCTAGGTACAGGATTTCCTACCCAATCTTTTCAAGGATGCATGGAGTATTTACAAAAAATTACCTCCATACTACGTCACAAACCAAGTCCCCTCAATTTTAAAGAATCAATATCCTGCAACCACAACTTTGAACAAAGTGTAGTAAATTAGAAATCAATTGGAAGCCAAAAAGTTAACTTCCCCTTCCCCACCTGCTACCCTCTCTTCTTACATGTTCCTTCCTTTTGCCACCTGTTCCCATTCTTTTGGAAATTAAAATAATAATAATAAAACCTCTTCTAAATAACTGACAGATAAACAAAGAAGTTACAATACAAGTCAGAAGATAAGTAGAAGTAATTGATAATAATAGAGTATATACCTGTTTTATAAATATGATACATAAGGTACACTCCATAAGGGAAAAGATGTTTCTGCAAAACAAAGGAGATGAAAGCAAAGTGAAAAATATTTAAAATATGTAACCAATTAAAAATTTACATGTAGAAAAATAAAGCCCTACTATAAATAAAATAATCTGGAAATCCAATAGTAAAATGGGCAAAAAATATGAGCAGGCAATTCATAAAAGAGGAAATCAAAATACACAAACAAAACCAAACAACTATTACAACAAAAAATGCAATCAAAAGAATCTTATGAAAGATTTAACTCACCTAACTGATGGATAATGCAAATTAAAAAACAGTATTTCTGACTATATTATTTCTTAGGAGAAGGTTTATTATATTTTATTTCTTTTGTATATATCTTCCTTCACTTATAGGATGCAGCATGAGTAAATAGTGTGGGTTGTTATATTACTTATGTGTTTAAACAGAAGGACTGACTTACCAGATTGAAGTTTGATCAGATGGGATGTGCTAAACCACATAAATAAAGAATAACCATATTGGGGATCAATCCACATCCAACTCTTAAATAAACAATTCTTAGAATTTTGACAAGTGTATATATCCATGTAACCACATATGCCAATCAAAATATAGAACATTTCCATCTTCTCAGATAGTTCTAGTCAGTCCTTACCCACACCCCCCATATGCAACCACTGTTCTGATTTCTATCATCACTGATGACAGAAAAATAAAATAAAGCATCAGCTAAGATTTTTATTGAAATTGAATTATATCTAATGATCAATTTTTGAGAATAGACACCCTAAAAATCTAAAGTATTCTGTTCTATAAACATTGCATATCTTTCCTTTGATTTAGTTCCATTCATATATGTAAGAGCCAAGAAAGAATAAGACAGAGAAAGTAATATAATTGTAAAGTCTCAGCCCTCTTCTTATACTAAATTGTTCTGAGGATTCTGTGTTATGCATTATGTTCCCGTATAGAGTTCTCTTTCCTGTTTCACTTCCTCTTGAAAATATAAGCAGGCACAAGATCTACCCTTCTCATAGGATGCTTGTGAGATCCATAAAAAGTGTTAGAGCAGTTTATAAAGTAGAGTGTTGCATGGACATGAGTTATCCTGGGTAAACTTTGCAAATACAGTAATCATGATCAAACAAAATATACTAAAATTAAAATAGCAAGGGTATACTTTTGTTTACTCTTTTTAAGGATAATGCACTGCAGTGTTTAGATTTTCATGTATATACTATAGAATAATATAGTAATATTATGTAAGTAATAATAATAATATGTAAGATTTTGTAAAGACAGAGAAAAAAACGAAATAGAAAATATATTAATTAGTTAATTAATTAGGATATTAACTAATGCGAGAATTTTCTCAAGGATTTTTTTTTCTCACTTAATGCGTCGGAGTTAGAAAGTACCAGAAGCCTCAACTCATACTAATGATGATAGATGGTCTATCACCGACACTGTCTTCCTTACATGGAGTTCTATGTAGACATTTTCCCAGATATGATCCAAAATGTGAGGAGGGAATAAAGCAACTAGAATTATTTTAAGAAGATATTTCAGTATTGATGGTAAAAAACAAAGTACAAATAGCAAATAAACTGAGTATCACAGTGTTTTTCTTTTAGTATTCAAGCTGTTAGTAAGCTAATTTAGATTGCTAATAAAGTTTCACAATGAATAGAGGCGTTGTATGTGTTCAGTGTTCACTTGTTACTAAATCTCATTTATTTATGTAATTTTTGTATGGTCAGTCAGTGACTGTACATGGCAAAACTAGTGCCATTTTTGAATGATGATTTCAGTATCATTGTTTAATATTTGTCTTCCACTAAAAGTTTTGCCTTTTAAATTATGTAGTAAATGACAGTGATTAATGGCTTTCACAAAAAGCCTTTCTTACAATAGTCTTTGCTCAGGTAAGAATCAAATGAGCTGACACTGTGACTGGAAACGCCTCGTAGATAGAGAATTTTCACATTAAATGGACACTACGTTAATTACTGTATCATGATCTTGAAATGTGTAGAGAACTGAGATGGAATACCCTTCTCACTTTTAAGGCAGTATACTAAGAAAAACTGAATATTCTGAAATATTGCTGACTGCAAAGGGAAATAAATTGGTTTGGGCCTTAAATTTCTTCAGAAATAATGTTTTAAAAATAGATAGTGTGAGACTGGCTAATATTACATGTATTATTCTAGAGATAAATTATTTCAAAATTGAAAAAGAATAGAATTTTTAAAACTTCTAACATAATTAAGATATTTTATAAATAGATATTAAATATATGAGGCCAAATAATACATGTGCTAGGTAAATCATATAAAAATTATAACTAATTTACTTATAAATTCCTATTTTCTTATATAACAGAGGTATTATAGGCATCTTGTGCCACGCACATCTTATTTCATCCTCATAGTAGTCCTATAGGAGCTTCATTTTTTACAGATCAGGAAAATACAGCACAGATGGGTTAAAGAAATTTCTCAAGGTGCTACATTTGGTAAGAGGTAGAGCCAGGACTCCATTCCAAGAAACCGACCACAGAATCCCTTCACTATACTGCTTCCCTGGGGCCAAAGACAATATTAGGTACTGGCAGATGCAAAAATAATTAAGTCATAAGATCTGAGTTCATGGAATTGGCAGTATAATAGCACTATGGCTATTATGACTGACTGAGGAAACTCTGCTCATAATTTAGAGATACAATGTCCAAAATAAATTCTGGTATTTCTTAATTCTCTCTATATTTTTAAAAATCCTAATGTTATTACTGTAGTTTATTCACTAAAAATTTGTATATAATGGTATACGTATTTACTGTTTCCTCTATTCCTAATTCTGTTTTATGTCCCAGACCTTCTATCTAAAATCATTTTCTTTTGTGCCTGGTAGACATCATTTTTTAGAATTTCCTAGAATATATGCCTGCTTGTGGCAATTTCTCAGTTTCTATTTTTAAAAAGTGATATTGATATACCATTATTTCTGAAATATGTTATCTCTGGCTATAGAATTTGAATTTGGAAGGTTTTGTTTTTATTTCATTGTGTGTTCTTTCAATATATGAAAATATCACTCCTTTGCATTTTGTCTGTTATTTTTACTCCTAGGAACTCAATCTAAGTGTTACTTCTTTAAAAATAATCAATCTTTTTTTTTTAACCTCCTTTTAAGATTTTATGTGTCTTTGGATTTCTGCAGTTTCACTAAGATAAGTCTAAGTATAGGTTTGACTTCATTTATCCTATTTGGGGTTTACTGGGCTTCCTGTTGTTGTAGATTCATTTTTTAAAATATGTTCTTGAAAATTCTTATCCATTGTTTCCTGAAAATATTACCCCAGTTTCATTCTTTTTCTCTCATTTCTGGCAAATACCAGATATTCTATTGCTGTACAATAGAAAGGTGCATTTTCAGCTTTACTAAATGCTGGTAAATTACTGTCTAAAGTGGATGCACTCACTATTTTAGAGTCAGAGAAATGATGTAAAATGTCAATTTCTCCATATTCTTTGTTACTTCTTAGACTTAAAATTTTTGCCAATCTCATACACATGAAATTGTATTCATTCTTATTTTAGTTTTCATTTTATTACTTACTAAGATTAATCATCTAATATATTTGTTGATCTTTTGATTTCTCTCTTTGACAATTCTATTGCTGCCATTTTTCTTTTTCTTTTTTTGTGTGTGAGTAGACTAAACTACTATTCTTTTCTTTCATTCTTTTTTTCTTTTCATCTGTTAATAGATCTATATTTTCTTGAACCAATTTGTTTAACATCCTGGGATGAAGCTGAATGAAATCTACTGAGTTGTTTTTCTCTCATTGCATTGTTTCATTTCTTTATTTATACTGATAATAATTCTCTGTTACTTTATTCCATTATCCAATTTGCTTCTTGCTTTGGAAATACCTTACTTGTTTAGTTACTATAGCTTTTATACTTTTATACTTTATTTTTATAGTCTTTAAAATGGTAGGACAAATCCTCACCCTTATTTGTTGTTTTTAAAACTTGTCTCAACTACTCTTGGTCCTCTATCTGCTCATGTGAATTTTAAAATTAACTTTAAATAGTCATGAAAAAGGCCACTGGTAGTCAAATTT